CCCCCCCCGGTCAGACCCCGATTCCCCACTTGGCCGCACACTCGGAAAAACAAAATCCCCCCTCCCCTCCCCCCCATATCTGTCTACCCCACTGCTCACTGAGTGGCCGCCATATCTGCACGAGTATAAGTTTTCGGCTTTCCGCCCTTTTGCTTCCTCAATCCTACTTTACCTTACCTTCCATCACCCCTCACCTCACCCTCTCCCCTATTCAATAGTCCCGCGGGCACCTCATACATCTTCACACATCACACCAACCTCACTGGTCTTCGGTCTTCGTTTCGAAAAAAAAAAAAAAAAAAAAAAAAAAACCAAAGTCTCCCTGGGTATCCGAAGTTCCCTCCACAGATTATCATGAACTGCGATCCTCCTCGTCTTCCTTCTCCTTGTTGGAGATATTTACCTCGGCGGGCCTTGACGCCTTGACCTGAACGCGTTCATTGATTGCATTGCCAAACTTCTGTGCCCAAGGCGCATCACAGCTCACGAGAAACCGCACCAGAAACCGCATCCATGTGGTCTACCACACCCAACTACAATGCAGGGCCTTCCTCCCCTCCGCAGACTCCCACGATTGCCCCCAGCTCTTTGTTCAAGAACCGCAGAAATGGCATGCATTTTGAGCCTCCATATGCCTCGAAGCAGAATGGCAATATAATCCCCAATGGCAATGGCCCTTACTTCTCCTACACACCTTCCAACAAGCCCTCAGATCTGTCGCCACGATCCTCCTCGCCCGACTCGTCTACCCACGACTCGGACTCGGACGCCAGTGGCAGCCCCCCACGATCCCTTTCCTCTTCGCCCGTTCCCCCATTCTCCGTGACCCCGCCCCTGAATCAAAGAAACGTCATCGTCGAAGGGAATTTCACGGTCGAGGAGTTCGGCGAGAGCGACTACGAGGAGTGGGACTCGGACGACGAGAGTGTCATCCGGCCACACCAGTATGAGGATGCAGCAAGTGACCGAGCGGGATCTGTGAGGTCAGTCTCCAGGACCAGGAACGAGATTGATCCGCGGGTACTATACGGCCTCAAGAACCTACACTGCCAGCCAGACGAGGATGACAGAGATGCTTGGCTTGAAGCCATGAGGGAGGAGAGGCGGAGGAAGCGGAGGAGTTCGGGAAGTGTGCAGAAGAGGACTATAAGCCAGAGCATTGGCAGCGATACGGATGAGGAGGATCTCAAGCCGGTCACGTTTGAAGGAGCGAATGAGATTGGATCCAGTGCTAGGAGGTTACGCAGAAAGACCAAGGGCGAGCGAACCAGTCTCATATTCGACGACCCGCCTCCTAGGATCGATGAAGAGTACGAGGGTCCCGATAGCGTGGAAGAGCTTGTGGAGCTCACTCAAGGGGAAGAAGAGATGGAGGGGGGCGATCTCAGGGAGCTGCCGTACTTTCGATATGTCCAAGACATGGACGTGGATTCGGATGAGGACTGAATAGGCGAGGCGAGTTTTTTTTTCAATGGCAGTGATGAATCTATGACCTACAGGAGACGACGACTTGGAGATTACGTCTATGATTGATGACTTTAGACATGGGAAGGTTTTGGGAAAGGGTTTTTGGGAAGGGGATTTTGGTCAATGGCATCCATCAACTGCGTTGCTTAGGAGGTTTGAGTTTGGCATACGTGGGCATTTGGGAGACTGGGTCGTTTGAGTCTGCATTGCAATTAGAGGTTTTGTTCACACAACTCAAGCCCATTTGCTTGATGACCGAAATTCTATTAAATATCCCCAAAAATATCACTGCGCTCATGGGACAAATATTCTTACATTTGAATACATTTTTCATTTTAGTGCTCCCTTTGGATCAGAAAATGCACGAGTCACAGGATTCTCGTTCTTTTGAAGTTCAAATGTTTCCAATCAACGTCAGAATGACTAAATGATAACAGCTTTCTTGAATCCTTCACAAATGATTGCAAGTCTTTCATTTTTTTTGTGAAGACCCCGGACTGCGATAAAGGATAAAATGCTTGATTGTGCGGATAAATGCCGGTTTCCGAACAAGGTTAATTGACTGTCCGGCGGACTGACAGAGCCCTTCCATCATCCGACCCCACAAACCCCAACCTCCACCTCGACCACTCTGCCTCCGGTCGCATCTCTCGGACATTCCCTACTTCAAGATAGGATATCCATAGCCTGTGATAACTCTCATACTAGAGTTCCTTTCGAACCTCAGTGCGACGCCATGAACAATGGCCAACAGGCAGGTGGCCCGGCTGCGCCAACATCATTCCAGAATGTGAGTGCACAGCAGCAAGCTGCTATCCAGCAGCAGCAGCAGCAGCAGCAGCAGCAACAGCAACAGCAACAGCAACAGCAACAGCAACAGCAGCAGCAACAGCAGCAACAGCAGCAGCAACAACAACAACAACAACAACAACAACAACAGCAGCAGCAACAGCAACAGCAACAGCAGCGCAAGATCCCTCTCTTCAAGCCAGAGCAGATGAGAAACCTACCCGAGCCGTTCACTACAGAAGAGAGAACGAAGTGGGAGAATGGTCTTAGACAATTATGGAATCAGTACGAGATGAATGCGGCGGACACCCCACAACATCAGGAAGCGAAACGCAAGATCGTAGAATTCTCGAGAACCTTGTCAGGAAAGTTGCAAGCTGCGAAGTTCAAGGCGCAGCAGCAGGGTATGCAAGGACAGCCAGGACAATCAAATCAGCCGGGGCCACAAATGCCACAAGGCGAGCAAACTCGCCCGTCGAATCAAGGCCAACCCCCACAGCAGCAGAATCAAGTAGGGAGTAATCCGGGCGGGAATCCGAGTCCAGCACAGCAAAGGCAACCGCCAAAGATCCCCCCGAAGCTCCAGGACCATGTTGAGCGCTTTCCATATGTCCTCCCTCCTGGTATGGCTCGAGACAGCCCAGAGGCTGCTGCATGGCTCGTCAAGTCGAAGAATGAGTACTTGAAGGCTTTGATCAACATGGAGTCGCACTCTGCCAGGGTCATAGCTATCGACGGCCTGATTGCGAAGAGAAATGAGAGTAACAATCCGCTGAGTGCGCAGGAGGAGAAAGACGCCAAGGAGAAGAGGGAGAACCACCACAAGGCGCATAACGAAGCAAAGAATGTTGTTGAGAGTTTCCGCAAGCAGCAGGCCCAGTATAGGGTACAAAACGCCCAGGTGGCCAATGTGCAGGCGCAAGGAAATAACTCTTCTGCCAGTGGACTACCCTCTAATGGCAACAGTGGTGGAGGAAGCAGTGGAGTGGGAGGCCCTCCCGTTCGGCCTCAAATGAATCCACAGCAAGTCCCAAATCCAACTCAGACGGTGAATGCAGCGATCGAAGCAGCCAGAAACCAGCAGATGATGGGAGCTAATAGGTCAGGCATGTCGGGAGCGCCGCAGCAAAACGGCCAACTGGGACAATCACAGATGCCAGGCCAGAATGGCCCTCCCACTATGCCGCCAGGGCAAATGCCAAATATCAAGACCGAAGCTGGACTTCCTGCTCAGATCAATACGGCTATTACGCAAATGCAGAATCAGCACCGGCCCGGCATGCAGACCAATTCACCGCAGTCGGCGGTACCTCGCTCCGCGGGCGTTCCTAATTCCGCGATATCGCAAGGCCAGCAATCTCAAATACCCCAAGCTCTCTCGCACGCCGACGCGATCAGTCAGGCCAACCGCTCTTATTCCAACACGCAACCTTCAAACAGCATCATGGGCCATTCTCACCCGACCGCGCCACGCGAGAACAATGTCATCACGAATAAGATGCCGATTCCGAAGCATCTTCCTGAGCGCGCAACTGCAACTCCACAGCCGGTCCCGATGCAACAAGCCCGACCCACGTACTCCGGCGGAGCTAATAATGTTGCGAGCGTCATGAACCAGCCAGCCATTCCCAAGGTTCCCCAGTTCAACATGGAGAGCGACGCGGAAAGAGTGCTGAGCAAGAAGAAGCTGGACGAGCTTGTCAGACAAGTCACGGGCGGTGGTCAGGGTGGTATCGATGGGGGCGAAGGATTGACGCCTGATGTGGAAGAGGTATGCCTTTTCATTCTCTCAGTCCCCTCTATATAGAAGTTCCAGGCTAATTATCGCAGTCCATTCTCAACGTCGCAGACAACTTCGTCGACCAAGTTCTCGCTGCCGCTTGCAAAAACGCCAAGGAGCGCGGCAGCAAGATCCTCGAGATCCGCGACATCCAACTCACCCTCGAGCGTGGCTACAACATCCGCATCCCTGGCTACTCCAGCGATGAGATCCGTACCGTCCGCAAGATCCAGCCCTCTCCTGCTTGGATCTCGAAGATGAGTGCTGTCCAAGCTGCCAAGGTCACCGGTGGCAAGAACAACGATTGATGGTATGCAACATCTACCGTGTTTATGGATCCTGCTGACGAGCAATAGCAACCGCTGCAAAAATTCACCGTCGGGAGTTCATGGAAGGTGTACATTTCTGGCTGGCGTTTATTGGCTGGCATCATTGCAGGGGCGCAAATGCATGGATATAGGTACAGGCGTTCATGGCGACCTCTGTGCATCAAAACCCGTTGCTTTGAGGGTGGGAACCTGGACCCTTTTCTCTGCCTGAAATCGTAGCATACTTCTTCAGCTGCGTTCGTTGCGCCCATGCGAATGCTACTGCGAACCTTGAAATCTGAACGGCACACGTGATGTTTACATTGGATCTGTTGATTGATGTCTTTTGCTTCATCATGCTAGAACAGGAAATGATCTCGTGCCTCCAGTAGTCCATTTGCGATGTATAAAACAGAAAATACCCGTATTCCATCTGGGCATCTGGTGCTTGTAAGAGCGAGGGGAGGTCTCTCTGTAGCCCGCTTGCGCTTTGAGAAAGACCTACGGAGGTAGCCAGCTCAAAGTGGGTCCGTCTCCAGGCACGGCTGCATTCGCGGCTCCCATGCAGCCTTTTAGCTTCAGCATGCTGTAATGTGCAAGACCAGCTCCGTCAACCACCTCCCACCCCACGACGATAACATCAACAACATCCAGCCAATATAAGGTGGAAGACGCGATCCCTCTCGCCATTTCCCAGTGTTGTCCTGCATACCCAGAGTTCGATTCCCCTTCTCCACCCCCATCGCCTCCTTGAAGCATCATCAACGCGGTCCCGACCCCAAAGTCGATAATACGTCACAGAAGGGCGCCTCCAGGACGCTCATCAGTCAATATGCCCGGCAAGACACCTCATACGAACGGGGATAAGAAGCTCGAGAACGGTATCACTGGTAGCAAGGACGTCGAGATGACGGATGATGCGCCAGCTGCTCTCAAGGGTGGAAAGGGGAAGAAGGTCAAGGAGGGCGAGGAAGAAATGACTGTTGTCGTTCCGCCTTCCAAGGGCTCGAAGCTCTCTGCTCCTCCTCCGAAAGACACCGATGGAGACGTAGCGATGGATGAGACCGACGAGCTTGAGGGTGAGGATCTTGCTGTCAAGGTCGATCCGGTAACGAAGGCCGTGGCAGGTGCGTAATCACTCATGGGCCCTCCCCGAGCAGGTGCTGGATACTGACTGCGAGCTTCTCCTCGTGTAGACATCAAGAGCAACTTCCCACAATTGGAGCGCGCTGTTACGCTGTTCGATGCCAGATTCTCCCTCCGAGCTCTCAGATCTGTTTCGTCCATCCGCAAACGCCTCACACCTGACATTCTGGCGCAAGTCATCACCGAGACCTACCCGTCCGCCAGCCCTATTGCAAAGTCCTTACTGCTCGCCCTTGGGAGAGAAAATGCTGCATGCACAAAGCCAGATTCGCCCGAGGTGGAGATCGACAGCGATGCGAAGAAGGGTGGCATCAAGAAGGAGCAGAAGGAGATCATCCCTGAAATCGACATCTTCCTCGGAATCCTGATCCAAATCTACTTTCTGGATAACAAGGTCCATACCAAGGGTGCTGAGTTCTCTGCCAATCTTGCTGCGCGGATACACACTTTGAACCGTCGGACTTTGGACTCGCTCACGGCCCGTGTCTACTTTTACTACTCGTTATTCTGCGAAGAGATGCTCCCCGCCCCTCCTTCTCCATCATCGCCCGTCGTAGCTCTCCGACCAACCCTGCTCTCTGCCCTCCGAACCGCGGTCCTGCGGAAGGATATCGACACGCAGTCCACGGTCATCGTGCTCCTGTTAAGAAACTACCTCTCGACGTTCCATATTGCCCAGGCTGACCTTCTCTTGTCACATACCCAGTTCCCTGAGACTGCGTCGAATAACCAGGTTGCTCGGTATTTGTACTACCAGGGTCGCATTCGGGCCATTCAATTGCGTTACACCGAGGCTCACGAGTATCTGATCGCTGCCACCCGCAAGGCTCCTACGAGTCCCAGTGCTGCAGGCTTCGCGCAAACCGCGCAGAAGTTACTGCTTGTGGTCCAGCTGCTGATGGGAGACATTCCCGAGCGTGCCACTTTCCGGGTCGCCAGCACAGAGCGTGCCCTCCAGCCATATCTGATGCTTGTGCAAGCCGTCCGCGTGGGTCTGCTGGGCGAGTTCGAGACTGTCATCAAGCAACACGCAGGGACCTTCAGACGCGATGGCACCTACACTCTTATCCTTCGTCTCCGCCAAAACGTCATCAAGACAGGCATCCGTATGATGTCTCTCTCCTACTCCCGAATCTCTCTCCGCGACATCTGCATACGCCTGAAGTTGGACAGCGAGGAGTCTGCGGAGTACATCGTGGCCAAGGCTATTCGGGATGGTGTCATAGAGGCTTCGCTGGATCGCGAGAGGGGATTCATGAAGAGCAAGGAGGTGGGTGATGTTTATGCCACGCGAGAGCCGGGAGTGGCGTTCCACGAACGCATCCGCGCTTGTCTCACGCTTCACGATGAGAGTGTCAAGGTATGTTATTCTCTATTGCGGTCTGGTGTGGGGAGATTTTGCTAAACAATATGTAGGCCATGCGCTTCCCCATGAACCAACACAGACTAGAGCTCAAGAATGCCCAAGAAGCACGCGAGCGCGAGCGCGAGATGGCCAAGGAGATCCAGGACGGCGATTTAGACGAGGACGATCTGGGCGGGGAGTTTGAGGGCTTGTAGAGATCCGATCCGACGTATTTCTCGTTCCGAGCTTGGCTCTCGCTTGTACACAATGGGACTACCGGATGGGCGTGGGCTAGGTGCATTTTGGAGGGTGGAAGATCGAAGGATGGAATGGGTAGATGGGTTTGAGGGCGATGGTTTGGTGGCAGATTGTACAACGTTGGCTTGCTACTATTAATCTTATTTACCCGACTTTCGACTCGTTTACGATCTCTCAGGGAGGAGGGACAGGGAGGTGCGATGTTAGAATCACCTTTCCCTTCTTCTTCATCATCTTCTCCTTCTTCTTCCGCTTCTTCTTCTGCTTCATCTCTGCTTCGTTTTGATTACTTGCAAGTATGCGTGTAGGTATGTAGATAGAGGTAAGGTAGTAGGTATGAAGAGAAGTAACTGGGTAGTCCTCTTCTCTTAAGTGTCATAAACTTTTTTCTATTAGTTAAGTGAAAAAAAAAGCTACTTATATTAAAAAACTAAATTTTTTTTTTACAAAAATGCCACCCAGGTAGGTTAAATTATCCATCGTTTAAATCAAGGAACTTGTTGAATTGATTGACCCCTCCCCCTCCTTTTTCTCATCCCACTGTCGAGCCGGTGTGTTACCTACCGTACTGACTCATCTACTCACTTTACTTAGGTATTGAGATTCTTTACTTTCTTACTTTTCTTTTCTCTTTTTTCCTTTCTTTCCTTGGGTGCAACTGCAGGATCTAACAAGTGGCGCATCGAGGAGCAAAAAACTTGTTCAATCTTTTTTTTTAACGATCCCCATTTTTTCCGATTGTGCTCTCTTCTCCTCCTCCTCCTTCTTCTGTGGAGCTTGCGTTACGGAACGAGATTACGTTAGGTAGGGACGGGTTGAGATTTTCTTATAATTATTTGTGCACGAGAAGAGAGAGAGAGAGAGAGACGCGATAATAAGTATTGTGTCTAGCTGGCGCTGCACGTCGATCGATGTGCCACAAGAAAGTGAGTGATGGGCGAGGAGGTAGCGTCGGGGCGTGCTACCGCGAAACGCGAGGGGACCGTGGATGTAACCACCACCACCACCACCACACCTCTCCGACCACCACAGCAACAACAACAGCAACCGCACGAGATACCACCACGAGGGACCAGCGGTCTGCGGCGCCAGCGACAATTGAGCGAGCGGGGACAGGCTGCGCTCAAGGAGAAGGAGAAGGAGATTGAGGAGCGGGAGAGGAGACGGACGCAGAGGGTATCTTCTGCGCAGCGGAGCTTGAAGGCTGCGTCGGTGCTTTCGGACACGGCGATTGCGATTACGAAAACGACGGGGCGGTCCAGGGGCGCTTGGCCGGCGGGTGAGAAGACGGTGGATCTCAGGACGGGGAGGCGCGGTCTGGAGGGGGTGGTGCAAGAGGGAGGAAGTGGAAGTGGAAGTGGAAGAGGAAAGGTGCCAGCTCAAGCTCAAGCTCAAGCTCAAGCTCAAGCTCCAACCCACTTCCCGAGACGCTCGCCAGAACCACACCCGCAGCCCAAGAGATACGTGCTGAAGTTCAAGCGGCAGCTGCTCGAGCAGGCGCAGCGCAAGGAGGACGCCGAGCGGGATCGGGTCAGGCAGTTGCTGGGTCGGCAGTGGGAGGACGCTGTCTGTGCTAGCACGCTGGTCCGGGAGGTGGATCTGGAGATGGTGCCTGCGCTCGAAGGGCCGCTCCAGCTGCGGAGCGGGAGGCCGCGGGGTTTGAGGAGCGGGGGCGTACCGGAGCTTTCAAACGGAGGTCATTCGAAGGGAGGCGGCGATGCTGCTGCGGCGGGACACAGAGCTGGCCGTCCGCGGGGCAGGAAAGGGAGTGTGGTCAAGCTCGACGAGCCGCGCTTGGTGAAACGGCCCGTCGAAGAGATGAACGGCATCGCGGAAGAGACTGCCATCGAAGTTGATCCCCGCCACCCCGAACCCGAGCCCGAACCACCACAGGTGAAGAAGCCGCGCAAGATGGAGCTGGAGCTGCGCATCGACGATAAGTCTACGAAGGACGACAAGGATGCGGACGGCCTGGAGCGCAATATCGATAATGTGATTTTTGGGGACGTGACGTTCAAGTCGTGGTACCCGTCGTGGTACCCTAAGGAGATCATTGGGGAGAAGGCACTCACCGTTGGGCCTAGCGACAAGGGAGGTATTGTGGTCAGCGAGCTTTACGTCTGTAGGCGGTGTTTTGGGTACGCGAAGGTGTTGGTGGAGTGGGTGAGGCATTGTCGGTGCTGCGAGAAGGGGATTCCGGGCAAAAAGGTCTACGTGCACGGGGGATGGAGGGAGGAGGGTGCGGTGAGAGGTGCGACTGGGGACTGGAGTGTCTGGGAGGTTGATGGGGGTGTTGAGACGGTAAGTTGCCTTTCATATGCCCACCCAAATACGCCATCTAGGAGAAAACATGGCAGTACTGATACAAGCCCCAGCTCTTTTGCCAGAAGCTCTCCCTCTTCGCCAAGCTCTTCCTCGACAACAAATCCGTCTTCTTTGACGTCTCGGGCTTCAACTACTTCCTCCTCGTCTACACGCCCCCGGCCAATTCCCCGCACGTCACAAACCCCAACAGCCCTCCGAGTCCCCAGATCACAGGCTTCTTCTCCAAGGAGAAGATGTCCTGGGACAACAACAACCTCGCCTGCATCCTGATCTTCCCGCCGTGGCAGCGCAAAGGCCTCGGCGCCCTCCTCATGGGCGTCTCGTACGCCATCGCCCGACGCGAGGGCATCATGGGCGGTCCGGAGAAGCCCATCTCGGAACTGGGCCGCAAAGGGTACAAGCGCTTCTGGGGGGCGGAAGTCGCGCGGTGGATCCTCACGCGGCCGGAGTCCGGCCGGAAGGGGGGGAAGGGGGGAGGCAAGATCAGGAAGCCGGAGGTGGTGGGCATCGAGGTCATCAGTCGGGAGACGTGGATCGCTGCCGAGGATTGCTTGGGCGTCTTGAGGGATATGGGCGTCGTGGAGCGGTCGGGGGGGAGGAGGAGCGAGGGGGAGGGGGGAGGGGGGAGGGGGAAGAGGAAGAGACGGTCCGAGTCAGGATTGATAGGGAGGCGGTAAGGGCGTGGTGTGAGCGGCTGGGGGTCAGTCTGCAGCCGGTTGTTGGGGAGGACGGGTTTGTGCCGGGCTATGCGGAGAGGATTGAGGTGGATGCGGAGACGGGGGAGGGGATGGAGGGAGTGGAGGGGGAGGAAGAGGAGATGGGTGATTGAAGTGGTGGGGTTTGGGGTTTGGGACTTGGGGTTTGGTGCTTGGGAGGGGCGTTAGGGATAGGCATCGGGACGATTCTTCTATTAAGGCCTGCTGCTTGTATGAATGCGCAGCCGTCACGACGGATCACGTGATATAAGTGATCTATTCTCGTGGTTGCACGAAGTAACTGTAACGTTCATCATGAGATTGAAAGTAGGATATGTAGAGGGCGAGGACGAGGGCGGGGGCCAGACGCGCATCCGCGTTCATAATCGTATTTTTAATTATCAATCGTGGTTATCAATCGTGATAGTTCATCGTGGGTAGTTGATCGTCATAAAGGGGCTCGCTTAGAATGAAATAAAGATGGGATGGGATGTAGAAAGAAGAAGAAGGGAAGGGGAGGAGGGAGGGAAAGGAAAGGAAGGGAAGGTTTTTTTTTNTTTTTTTTTTTTTTTGTTGGAAAGGAAAAGGAAAAAGGAAAAAGAGGGGGGAGAAAAGGAGAAAGGAGAAAGGAGAGAGGAGAGGAGAGGTAAAGAATATATATATATATGTGTATAATTTAATAAAAAGGGAGGCAAAAGTCAAGGTCTGTGGAAGCACTTCGCGTCTATACCTGGTGACTGACGGATCGGTATGCGGTAGTCAAATACTCGTTGATTGAATGGATGGGTGTTTGTTTATGTTTTTTTTTTTTTTTTTTTTTTTTTTNTTTTTTTTTT